ATTCGGTACAGTCAGATGGCTGAGAGGACTCAATAACTTTGAATAGTCTTTCATGATTTTAGGTTGTAGAAAGTCCTCTTTTCAAATAGATGTTGTTATTTTGTATGAAGGATTTGCAAAAAAAGTAGTGTTTTCAACACAGAGAACAAAACACTGTACAATGGTACAATGAGACTGACAGCTGAAAGGGCAGAATGAGACAAAGAACAAGAGCAACAGTTAAGACTATACAAAATCATCCGTCATTGGATAATGAAATTGTAAGCTTAGCATCAAAATCTGTGCAGATTTAAAGTAGGAAAAGTTTCCTGTTTCAGCGTCAAGAGCATAATATTCCTATATCTAGCTAGAATTAACTGGCGATATTGCTTTAACAAACTTATATTACAAAATAGAAATAAAAGGCAGGGCCAAAATCAGTATTCTCCTCATCATGCAACACTGTAGGGAGATCGACTAAATAATTATTCCAGTCCATTATTATTCCAAAACTATTTCAAATGTAAATAGTACATGTGTCTGAATTATACTGTTTTGATCTGGTTCTTAAAATAGCCATTATTGAAGGAAAAGAAGAGAACAGATGATTCCAAACCTTTGAACTGTAGAGTATACAGTGGGTACGGAAAGTATTCAGACCCCTTTAAATTTTTCACTCTTTGTTTCATTGCAGCCATTTTCCAAAAATCAAAAAAGTTCATTTTATTTCTCAGTAATGTACACTCAGCACCCCATCTTGACAGAAAAAAACAGAAATGTAGAAATTTTTGAAAATTTATTAAAAAAGAAAAACTGAAATATCACATGGTCATAAGTATTCAGACCCTTTGCCGTGACACTCATATTTAACTCAGGTGCTGTCTATTTCTTCTGATCATCCTTGAGATGGTTCTACACCTTCATTTGAGTCCAGCTGTGTTTGATTATACTGATTGGACTTGATTAGGAAAGCCACACACCTGTCTATATAAGACCTTACAGCTCACAGTGCATGTCAGAGCAAATGAGAATCATGAGGTCAAAGGAACTGCCTGAAGAGCTCAGAGACAGAATTGTGGCAAGGCACAGATCTGGCCAAGGTTACAAAAAAATTTCTGCTGCACTTAAGGTTCCTAAGAGCACAGTGGCCTCCATAATCCTCAAATGGAAGACGTTTGGGACGACCAGAACCCTTCCTAGAGCTGGCCGTCCGGCCAAACTGAGCTATCGGGGGAGAAGAGCCTTGGTGAGAGAGGTAAAGAAGAACCCAAAGGTCACTGTGGCTGAGCTCCAGAGATGCAGTCGGGAGATGGGAGAAAGTTGTAGTAAGTCAACCATCACTGCAGCAATCCACCAGTCGGGGCTTTATGGCAGAGCGGCCCGACGGAAGCCTCTCCTCAGTGCAAGACACATGAAAGCCCGCATGGAGTTTGCTAAAAAACACCTGAAGGACTCCAAGATGGTGATAAATAAGATCCTCTGGTCTGATGAGACCAAGATAGAACTTTTTGGCCTGAATTCTAAGCGGTATGTGTGGAGAAAACCAGGCACTGCTCAACACCTGTCCAATACAGTCTCAACAGTGAAGCATGGTGGTGGCAGCATCATGCTGTGGGGGTGTTTTTCAGCTGCAGGGACAGGACGACTGGTTGCAATCGAGGGAAAGATGAATGCGGCCAAGTACAGGGATATCCTGGACGAAAACCTTTTCCAGAGTGCTCTGGACCTCAGACTGGGCCGAAGGTTTACCTTCCAACAAGACAATGAGCCTAAGCGCACCGCTAAAATAACGAAGGAGTGGCTTCACAACAACTCCGTGGCTGTTCTTGAATGGCCCAGCCAGAAGTGAGCATCTCTGGAGAGACCTGAAAATGGCTGTCCACCAACGTTTACCATCCAACCTGACAGAACTGGAGAGGATCTGCAAGGAGGAATGGCAGAGGATACCCAAATCCAGATGTGAAAAACGTGTTGCATCTTTCCCAACACGACTCATGGCTGTATTAGATCAAAAGGGTGCTTCTACTAAATACTGAGCAAAGGGTCTGAATACTTATGACCATGTGATATTTCAGTTTTTCTTTTTTAATAAATTTGCAAAAATTTCTACATTTCTGTTTTTTTCTGTCAAGATGGGGTGCTGAGTGTACATTACTGAGAAATAAAATGAACTTTTTTGATTTTTGGAAAATGGCTGCAATGAAACAAAGAGTGAAAAATTTAAAGGGGTCTGAATACTTTCCGTACCCACTGTATATTGCAGACTTCCAACAGCTGGCACAAAAGGCTGCTTAGGCACTGTTAGACTGTATAAAACAAGCAGTAATTTTGATGTCATATTCAATAAATGATAAAAAAGAACAGCTGGCATAATGTCTATTCATTTTATATTTTGCCATGTTTGGGTTCCATACCATCAGTCCTGCCGGGACACAACAGGAGGACTAATTTACGATTTCATTTTATTATACTGTTCAGGGCGTCCCTCCTCCAGACTTTGTGTTTGCAGAACTGAATAGCAACGACATGTAGGAGTTAAATTATTGGGAAATGCTGTGGAAAGGTTTTCTCCTAGCTTTAAGTGCAATTGTGTTCTGAAAGTTAGTTTAGTCTTTTTTTTTACCTCTGTGTTGAGTTACGCTAAAATCCAATTGTGATCAATGGCCTTTTCTTCATTGTTGAAGAGCTGCATTATGATATAAAGTTTGTTAAAGCATGGAGAAAGTCAGTTACAAACCCACTGATCATTACGGTACTATTCAAATTTATGTTAAGTGTGCAGCGGAAGTGCAGGGTGAAGGTGAAAAGTTGAGAATAGAAGCGTGTAAAATATAATTCCATAAAAGTGAGTTGAGTTTTGTGAATTATTTCACAATTTGTTGGTTTATGTGTATGTATTTCTCTGTAGTTTTTAATGTACTAGTAATTTACTTTATATTATATAACAATATATCTTAGTTAAGTTTAATTTTGACCATTTTCTAGTTCATTAGACACATTTTATCATCTCAGCAATGTATAAAATAATTTAGAGTAGTTAGTGTCTAATTGTTGGGGTTCATCATGTTGTTATTTTTTCCAAATAAGAAGAGATAAGAGATGATAGACTTCATTGATCCCACACTGGGGAAATTTGGTTGTCACAGCAGCTCCAGATACAATACAACACAACAGATAAGATAAAATAAGGAGATAAAATAGAAATAGGAAATAAGAGTATACTGTACATGCCTATTCTTGGGTGTAACATCCATACGGACAGCCGTCCCGCCTGTCACACTTTTCAGAATCCCATTTTTGAGATAGTAATCAAGTGGACCCACTCCTGTGCTGTGAGTCGCTGACAGTTTGTGACCAGAATGGTAATGTTAATGGTAGAGTTTTGCGATAGAAAAAATAAAAATGAAGCATTGTGAGTAATAGCAAGTTTGATGAGTTAATCTCTTTCTATCATTGATTAATTGATATGTTTTACCTTTATCTTAAAATGTAAAAGTTAAGAATAGATACATGAAAGTAGGAAGAATTATGTTCCTATACAAGCCATTAAATTTAAGACATTGAGATGGTGGCTGTGCAATGTGTTTTTTATTTTTATATTAAAGGCATAGTTACAGTGAGAAGGTATAGTAATAATTTATTGCTTTTAAGTAGATGAGAACATGGTAAAAGCATATAGAAATTCAGAAAATTGTATTCAAATCCTTTTTTTGTTTCTGGGATAGGACCCCTACCCCTTTCAAACCAATGTTACGCCATGGTGCCCATAGTTTGTCAAGATATGGGCATGTGAGGTTAAAGTTTGACAGCTGTACCCAATTAGTTTGACCATTTGTCAGTGGAGACAAAATAATTCCTACCGTAGCCATATATGCTAAGTCATTTTATTATTGTTCTCTCATGTCAACCTTCAGTCTGTTTCTTTTCTAATCTAAAAAGGTGTAATGTTAATCTCGGAACACTCATTAGAGGGATGGCTCATTGACGGGTTGACATATTTTATTCCAGGTGATTTTAAATTAATTAGCCTTAACAATGGTGGTGTGTATTGATTTATTTCCCTGAGGTCTTGTATGGCCTGCTGTTGTGCTTGAGGGAGACTTAACCTTTCTAAATAACTTTTTCATTCAGTGTTTTATTATGACAATGTTTTGAAATGAAATGTTTTCAGTTCACGTATTGACTTCTGATTACTTATTAGGATTATTCTTTTGGCATTTCTGACTCTGTTACACCTGTTCAAAGTACAGATGGTAATTTCCCAAGAAGAAATCTTGAACAAAACAAAACAAAAAAATCTGCTAAAGCAGAGAAAACTTGCTTGGCAGGCACAGAGGTAGCTGGTATGTACAGATAACAACAGGCCAACTTCCCATCTCCTCTTCCACTGCACAAGTGGATCCTTTATAATTTGCAGACAGGGCTTGTTAGGGAAACACTTTTTAGGCAGCAATTTTTGTTTAAATGACTGGTGTCATTGATGTCGACTAACATGACACTTGGGGTTAGACATTCAACCTAGACTGCACCGCTGGGCTTTTTGTAGGGAAGGTTTGGCACCTAACCATCGTACTTGGTAGTAATACAGGCTCCTGTGCAGTAGTTTGGGCTTAATTCAACTGGCATACACTGGGTCCATTAATACCTGTGCATCAAAGCCTTGATAGCCACACTACCTTAACATCACTCATGACATTATTATTATTATTTTTTTTATTTCAAGACGAATATAACAGAGTGGAGACAAAACAATAGCTACATTTTACTGTCCATATACTTTCAGACTGCACTGTGTCGTTCTCTGCTCTCCTATCAAAATGAACACCACAATTTAACTCTGTTTCTCAAATGCAGAATATAAAGAACCAAAACTTTTAACTTGGTTGGAAATCACAGATATCTGCTCATAAATGATATCACAGTAATTTGCTCCAGGCTGCTGTAGGGCTTTAAAAAAAATCATATTTGATGCAGTTGCTTTATGTGTCCTGATTTGTTTTTTTTCTGTTCCCCACCTGTAGCACTTACCCTTTAGAAACATCACAGATGATGTGGTAAGATTTGAAAAACTGGTGTTCTTTCTCTTTTCTTGTTTGTCAATCTTAACAACATCTAACATCACTTTACTAAAAGTCATTGAATCTGATATGAGTGGCAATGAAATTGGTCTTCATTGCCAGCCATTGGAATCATTCACACCACAAAGCCTGCTTTTCTCACTAAGTAATGACTGCATGTCATCTAAATAGTGCTTTGCTCCACCTATGCAAGATGTTCTGTGGATGTAATTTGTTCACTTCAATGTCAATAGCATTATTTTTCTAACTCATTAATAGGCTAATTGTTTTGTCTACTCCATTCTCAGTATTAACCATTTAAATATGCTCATAATCTAACAATTAAAAAAAAAAAGATCTTTCTCAAATTAGCACTGTGTACTTTCCCCTATTTTAATTGTGTTTTCTCTGTTTTCTGTACAGCTGGACAGGTTCGCCAGTATTCGGATTCCGGGTAGTAAAAAGGAGCGCCCCCCCCTGTCACATTCTAAACACAATACTAATGATCGGTCCATTTCCTCATCATCCACCTCACATCACTTTGAGGAGCTTTCATCAAAGATCACCTCGGAAAAAGAGATCTTGGCTCTGTTTGAAAAGATGATGGTATGTTGTTTTATCATTGTACAATGTCATCAAAGATTTCCTAGAAAAGTAGTATAGTAGCTTGACATGTAAAACCTACACCTGATGCAAGGGCAACCAAAGTGAAAATGTGTTTTGATTTTAGAACAGAAACACTGAATAGAACAAGATGGGCATGTACCATGTGTTGACTATTAATTTTATAAATTTTGCAATTTTTGGGGTGAAATAGATTAAACTAGATTTAAATCTGTTTTTCAGTTCACTCACTCTCCTTTTATTTTGAAACTTCTTAAAATGGTCAGTTTCACAAACAGAAAGATTTTCTCTGACTGTCAGCATTTCCAAGACTGTTTGGGCTTACTTTTTTCTGACACAACAACATATTGTTTGGCTGCTTGAGGTATGACTCTGGGAGACGACTTCCACTTGTTATGACTTTATGTCCTCCACGGAACCAAAACACTCGACATGAGCCAGTTGATAACTCGTGGCAGTAAAATTCCTTGAGACTTTTTGACTACCTACAGACTTTATGTCGATGGACTTGTAAACGCTCCAAAAACCCATTAATACAACACTCTTATAGTAACAGGCTTTCTTTGGAACAGAAATTATTGTCACTACATTAAAAAGGTCTGCTGTTGTGAATACAATAATGTTATAATAATACAATCACATAATATTGTTTAATCCACTGATATAATATGGTCCCCAATTTTTCAAACATAAAGTCCAGAAATAAAACACTGTCTCATGTTTTCTTCAATGTGGCAAATTAAACCAAATCTAAGCTTAAGAGGTAATGGAGAAAAAATCAGCTTTGGAGCTTGAAGGTAATATTGCTAAAGTATTGTAAAGTATAGTGTTATGTATATGGGGTGGGGAAAAATAAAAGCAAGTCCTGTCGCCATAGGTGTCGCTAGGGTTGTGCGATATGACTAAAATCTAATATCCCGATATATTTCATATCCCAATCACAATACATATCCCAATATAGAATTTTTTTTTGTAAATTCAATGAAATATCATGAGTTACTGTTGGAAATTCCAACAGTAACGTCATTAAGGTGGGTAAGCGATTCTAGCGCTCTCAGAACTGCACGCACAGCACCGCTCTGCTCCCCCTCCCTGAAGGCAGAGTCAGCGTGGCTTATGCTGCAGCTCTGGGAGACAGAGCACAGAGGGAGAGACATGGCTACAAAAAAGCTTTAATAACAATGACATTAATCTTCTTATTTACAGTAATTAATTATTAATGTACTCATTCACTGTCAAAACATTGTCAAACAATCAAGAAAACATGTCATCAGAACTTTATTTAGTATTAAAATAATAAACATAAATTACATTAACTTTAAATCTGGCACTTGGTGGCTATGGTGATGAAGATTATTAATAATAATCCTGGGTTTGAGCTTCATCACCTAATAATTTATTAGCCCTTCTCAACACAGTAGTGCACTAAAGTAGACTGAACACGCATGATTCAATACACTTTGCCAGCGGAGCTCTACTGAGCGCATTTTCTTGTTTTCTTTTAGTCAAATAACATTTAAATAGACAATTAATGAGAACAGCCTCTGTTGTAAAGCTGTTTACAATCTACAGTAGATAGGATATTTTCTGTTTTTATTTAAACAAACAGAATTGTAATCTCCTTGTTTTGTCATTTATTATTTCATAACTTTTCCTGATGTTTTAGATTTTTGCCATGGTTTTGCTTCAGTATCGGTATGGGTCTATTTAGGCAGGTATCGTAAGTCATAAATTTCGTATCGTGATAACACTACATCACAGCAACAGTATGACTTGTCAAATGATATCATCATATACCACAGCCCTAGTCGCTAAAATAAAATAAAAACAAAACATTATTTCAGATAATTATTGAATAAGATTTATCCTCTCTTTCTGTTGTTTTTTCCTTTTCAGGAGGACATGAACTTGAGTGAGGAAAAAAAGACCCCTTTAAGAGACAAGGACCTCAACACAAAGAGAGAAATGGTCATTCAGTATGTTTTTACTGCCTCTAAAACTGTGAGTTTTTTAATTCAATAACATATTTTTTTGCTATGTTCCTATGTTTTTCTGGCTTACTTTTTGTATTTACATGATTTAATGTCTGGAATTCAATGTGTTTAAATGTCTTGTATTTTTAAGTCCTTATAATTGTGCTATTTTTCAGGGCACATGTTATACAGTATCTCACAAAAGTCAGTACAACCCTGACATCTTTTCATGTGACACTGAAGAAATTACACTTTGCTACAATGTACAGCTTATACAAAACAGTGTAAATTTTGCTTTATTGTCTAAACCGCTGGCAACAAAAGGAAGTACACCCCTAAGTGAAAATGTCTAAATTGGGCCCAATTAGCCATTTTCCCTCGCTGGTGTCATGTGACTCGTTAGTGTTACAAGGTCTCGGGTGTGAATGGGGAGCAGGTGTGTTAAATTTGGTGTTATCGCTCTCACACTTCCACATACTGGTCACTGGAAGTTCAACATGGCACGTCATGGCAAAGAACTCTAGGCGGATCTGAAAAAAAGAATTGTTGCTCTACATAAAGATGGCCTAGGCTGTAAGAGATTGCCAAGACCCTGAAACTGAGCTGCAGCATTGTGGCCAAGACCATACAGCAGTTCAACAGGACAGGTTCCACTCAGAACAGGCCTTGCCATGGTCAACCAAAGAAGTTGAGTGCATGCTCAGCGTCATATCCAGAGATTGTCTTTGGGAAATAGATGTATGAGTGCTGCCAGCATTGCTGCAGAGGTTGAAGGGCTGGGGGGATCAGCCTGTCAATGCTCAGACCATACGCCACACACTGCATCAAATTGGTCTGCATGGCTGTCGTCCCAGAAGGACGCCCCTTCTAAAGATGATGCACAAGAAAGCCTGCAAACACTTTGCTAAAGACAAGCAGACTAAGGACATGGATTACTGGTGCATTTCCTGTGGTATGATGAGACCAAAATCAAATTATTGGTGTCAAGCCTGTGTGGCGGCAACAAGGTGAAGAGTACAAGTGTGTGTTGCCTACAGTCAAGCATGGTGGTGGGAGTGTCATGGTCTGGGGCTGCATGAGTGCTGCCGGGACTAGGGGCTACAGTTCATTGAGAGAACCATGAATGCCAACATGTACTGTGACATACTGAAGCAGAGCAGGATCCCCTCCCTTTGGAGACTGGGCCGCAGGGCAGTATTCCAACACAATAACGACCCCAAACACACCTCCAAGACGACGGAAAGGTGATGGACTGACCAAGCATGTGTCCAGACCTAAACCCTATTGAGCATCTGTGGGGTATCCTCAAACGGAAGGGGGAGGACTCACTACTTTACATTGTAAAAAGTGTACATGAAAAGATATAATCAAATATTTACAAAAATGTGAGGGGTGTACTCACTTTTGTGAGATACTGTATGACTAATGTAATTTTCAATGAAAAATTGTGTCTCACATGGGGTCTGGCCTGAGAGACTATAGAGAGATTGAATTTGAATTTTCAATATCAAAAACTGTGTTTGATTACAAGCTAGTGCAATCTCATTTGTCATACCATCTCTATCTATAGAAGATGTACTTACACCTTATCTGGGACACACTTGTAAAAGTACACAAGAACCAGAGACCTACGCGGGACTGTTTTCTTGATCCGGCTTCCGACCGTTCAGGAAAACCGACATAAATCATTGCATTCATTTTTGTCAGTAAGAACTGAGAAGTTTTCCAAATTTCAGACTTGCCTTGCCTTGGTCTTGTGTTGTATAAGCCCGTGTGATGGAAGCCAGCGAGACTGTGCAGTGAGTAAAAACTCACTCCTGACACCTTAAGACACGCACTGGCGACCGATACCAGTGGCCACGGGCTTCAGCCTCCTTGTCAGCGTATCCGTCTCCCGTACCCGAGGATGCCGGTTCGAGTCAAGCCTGTGCAGTACGTTCTCGGGAGCAGCCACATATGCTCACTGTTTTGCCCCACGGGATCCCAATCCCAAAGCAGCTCTCGAACAAGAACTGCACTTAGGATGGGAATATTTAACAGAGTAGTCATTAAAAATGCCCATTCAAATCCAAGGCCTGCTACCTTAGTGTATAGCCCCCCATCCACCTTCAAAAGGTGGTCAAGATAGATTTTCAATTTTAATAATTTGTCTTGCTTTTGGGTGGGAGTGCATCACAACATACATTATAAACGCTTTTGAGTAATAGTCTATCACAAAACGAATGGGTGAGATAATTGATTAGATTTTGTGTATGTGAGTATCCTATCATGGTTGATTGGTCCTCTTTCAATTTTCAGCAATGAGCCCTAAGCTTTTCCTTTACTCCCACTCAAAGCAGACAGACAGATCTTGATAGAGGGTGATAAAACTGTCAGTGTTCAGAGGAACACGATTAAATCTACAAAGAAAAAGAAACTGTGGATCATTCTTTCTCCCCCAGACCAAAAAAGGCCATGCTTTACATTGATTCCTTCTACCCTTAAGAAGAGAATCCTATTGAAAGACCACAATTTGCAGGTGAAACTATTTTTATATATATATAAAATATACTATTAGATATATTAAATCTACCCAAGAGTGTGCTCATAGTTAATATGGGTCAAGTCTGTGATACTTAGTTTGAATAATTATGAAAACAAGCTGTGGGTGTCTTTGATTTCATTTTAACAGAAGCTTGAGGGCACCTTCTAACTTATATCAAATGTTATAAAAAATATTCCTTTACATGTTTGTTTTTTGAAGGTTTTCTGGTTAACAAGTTGACTTAGTGTATTGCAAAGAAGTGTTGCATTTATTATATTTGTTTTAACCAGACATCCCTCCAAAGTAGCCTCAGGCTATCCATCTCTACTTACCATAGCCTGTTTGTATGCCTACATCTGTTTACCGGCATGGTAAAAAAAATGTGGCCACTGGTCAAAATGCAATAAATTAAAAGCATTCAAAACACCAGTTTTATTGAATACTACATGTACATAAGATGTGGGAAACTGTGTGTTTATGAAGGGAGGTTGTAAAAATGAGCATGTTGTTATGTCGGTAACTGCTTAAATAATATATTATGACAGTAGGTGGAAGATACTCTTCAGGCTTCTTAAATCACTCTCAAGTCCATGGCATAGTCAAATTATGACCATTATTTTATGAGTTAGGCCAGGGCTCTCGTGTAATAATTTACCCTCTCAGACCAATACCAGGTCCTTTAACAGTAATACACTCAAGGTTATGCTATTCTCTGGTGATGGGCGGATGAAGACTTCTTTCCATTTGTCCACTGTGGGCTCATGCATTTTGACTTCATAGTTGATATTTATGTAACATTTCATATTAGTCACAATGTCATGTGATTACAGAATGAAATAACTATAGTTACTTAAAGTTTTTGTTGATTTTGGCAGAAATTGTGGACAAAAGTGGCATGAGTACCACCACCTGGCGTCATAGGCTACGCTCAGACTGCAGGCCTTAATGCTCAATTACGATATTTTCATCCAGATTTGTTTGACAGTTCACATTAATGCTTAAATGTGGCCCCTATCAGACTCCAGTGTGAATTGTCTGCGGCAGAAGAATAACACAACGTCACATGTAGCGCGCTGTTGCAGGCTACAGAAGTAAACAAGGAGCAACAGAGGTTAGCCCCGGTTAGCTCATGGAAGACTCCCGTTTTTTATTGTCCTCTCACTGGTCACATTTCTCCCGAATTATGACAAGTGTTCACAACTTTCTGTTCTTTTCATTACGTTTTTTGGCGCTGTACAACGCAACTGCCCCACATCTCTCTCTCTCTCTCGCTCGCTCTCTCTCTCTCTCTCTCTCTCTCTCTCTCTCTCTCTCTCTCTCTCTCTCTCTCTCTCTCTCTCTCTCTCTCTCTCTCTCTCTCTCTCTCTCTCTCTCTCTCTCTCTCGTCCGCCTGCCATAAAGATCTTGTTTGGGCTAAATTTAGCCAAATCAAAACTGGTATCTTCCAAACTTTCTTTTATGTACAAAATTACATGTGAACCTGCCAAAGGTGAACTGAGGTGTTCACCTTTGACTTTATCTGGATGACCTGCTCGCAAGCCTCAGAGACCTTTTAATCAGCTAATTTTAGAAAACATGACACAAGGGCTAACTGTCCCAGCATTGACCATGTGGTCTCCTGGGTGGCAAATTCCAATTGTGGCTAAGACTTGACTTAAAGTGGTTGATTGTTGAAGGAGGTGATCATTAATAGAGGAACAAATGCCCAACTAGGTAAATGTACGTTATTGAATGTAAACAATGTTGATAATGTTACTGAGTAATTACACATCACTCCCCTCCAGCACCTTTTGTTTTTTAATGACGATGTAGAACTTTTCTACATTTTCTACACATATACATATTCTACATATACATATATATTTGCAAACTTGTCACCTTTCACCAAGATTTTGAATAATTATGATATGACAATAAATAATAATTAATGTTGGTTAATATTAATCCATTGGTAATATTTGTTACCTTTTCCCTGAAAACCCTTGTGGCAAATATTTTACATGACCTTGATTTAATTATTTAAGCTATATATTACATGAATTCACAACTGATTGAAGCTCACCAGTTAAGGCTATTTTATTGGACCTGTAGTATGTTGCAGCAGTGTTTGGATGCACCAGAGGTAGTCGTGTAGTGGAATGTCAACTGCAGGCACAGCATAATATTTAGGTAATGTTGTCTTTTGCCACAGCAGGGAGACGAAACCTGTCGCTTGGGTGTAATGTCAGTTTTTATCATTGTCATTATCTCTGTATCCTCTCCCCAGTATCTGATCTAGCCGAGGGGACGGGGGCCTCAGAACACTTACTCTGCACAGCCCATGTTCAGAGAGTGAGTGCGGAGTGAGACAGACAGATCAGGGCATTGCGGCCTTGCTCCACTTTTGTGTCCTGTTGTGAAGGGAGGAGGGTCCCAATGGAAAGGGCAACCGAAATGCGGGGAAAATGCTGCTTTATTAATTGTTACTTGAGAAAGAAGCATAAATCACCATGGGTAAATGAATA